GCCTTTGCTTCCAGTGCCCTTGAGGTGGAAAGTGATGGTGGTTTGCCGTCATGTTTGTCCACTAGTTCTTCTGGTAGGTAACGAGGGACAAATTCCTGACACAGTAATCCTAATCAGTCCTACTCATCTCATCAGTGTTATCTCAGGTCCTTGTCTGTCCTAAGGGGAGCTGCACTTCTGGGCTCTGTCAGACAGTGTCTGAGCTCAGTAATTGAGAAAGGAGCTGACCTTGCACAGGGAAGTTTTTGGACAAGCCTAGATTTTAACCTCGTGTGGATTAAAAATGTTTTGGTTTTTAGCGTTTCTTTAGTAACCCATAGAGTCAGAGATCACACACTTCTTGAGCCTCCTTCAAGTTGTGTATGCTTGCAGAAGCAGCTGGAACGCTGCTGTAAGTGGCCAGAGTGCCAATCACCATGGTCCTGGCTCTTCAGCAGCTGTGGTGGTGGCTTGGTACAACAGCTGGGTGGGTGGAAGTGCCAGATCTGGGTCTAGAGCAAAAATTCTTCTTTCAGCCTTGGTGCTGTTCAGCTGTGCCTTTGTGGGACCTGGAAAATGCAGAGGTAGCCCTGAGTGTTGTGGGTTTGATCTGCAACAGGATCTTGGCCCAAATTCACCAGAAGCTTGTTGGATTGGTTTATTTAGGTTTATCTGTGCCCTACTCAGAATGGCCTTCTTAGAGTTTGATTTGATGTCTGCAGGATCTATCCAAGCAGACAGTTGGCTGATAACAAGTCTGTATTCCAGGACTCCCTGTTTTGCTGAGTTAGTAACAGCCCTCTCAAACATAATCCCATTGAAACCTTTACTTTTTCATATGATAGAAAAATATTGAGTGTATTATTAAATATATTTTTCAGTGAATTAAGTTTACTTATATTAATTTGTTAGTAAGATGCTTGTTAAACGCTACCTTCAAGTAGATCTTGGCACACTTGGGCACTTTTTTAGTTTAAATGTATTTCAAATATAAGTTTTACTTTTAAGTGATGCCAGTTGAGTGAGAGTGCTGAGAAGTTCCAACTGCTCTGTATCTGTTGCAGTGGGCATTGTCACAGTTTTGGTCTCTGGCTGGAATGAAACCTCCTCCATGAAACCAGACTTCCCTTGTTCTCTGTATTCTGACCCAGCACTCTTGGCTGCCGTGATGCTCAATGGACATTTAGGCTGAATTTGACTGTAGTCATCTATTGAGGACAAGAAGAGTCTCACCACAGCCTTCACTGATGTTGATTTCTTCAGCTCAAGATGCCTACAGCAGAGACACCTGTGTTTAGTCAGACTAATCCCATTCCTGTTGTTTTACCTGATTTTTCCCCTCCCTAATGTGGTACTGCAGGACATGTGTTTCTTGTCTTCAGTATGTGAAACAGATTTCCTTGGATAAAACACTTTATTCTTAAACCCATCCCACCTCTCTCAGTTCTCTCTCCTCTGAATAAATTGGCATTGTTAAAACTAATTTTTCTCATAAACTAATCCCTTAGAGATCTGATTGTTTCTGTGGCTCTCTAAGTATTTTACTATTAGTCCTTATCTTCCTCACAGTGTGATGCTCAAAACTGGAGACTATACTCCAGCTGAAGCCTCACTCATCATCCTCAGCAGAAGAAACAAATTGCTGTGTATAGTAGCAGCAAATTTTCTTCCCATTTCCTCTGCAGCTTTTCTAATATTTTCAGACCAGTTTCTGTTTTCCAGAAAACTATCAGTGCTCTGTCACGCGTTCATTGCTCAAAACTCTGAAGTTTCAGTATATCTGGCTTTTGAGTGCATTAAATCACTGTCCATCCCTCTGTCCTGTCTGTTTCTGGGTGTGCAGGCTAACACACACTCCAGGCAAATGCTGAAGTGTGTAAAGCCTGTATATGCTGGAGGAACAGGCTGAAGTAGCTGCTGCTTCCCACCCATACAGATCAAACCTGGGCTTTGTCACCTCATCCCTTAGAAAATCTTCTTGGTCTGAAGTCTGGAGCAGTCTGGGACCAGGTCCATCTCAGAAATATTTGTCCATCTGCACTGTTATAATCACTAGTGGAAAGTCTCTAACAGGAGAGAGCAGCTACTAAGAGGACATTTTCTGGGTTTTTTTGAGATCTTTTGAGTGAATTCTTTTTAAAAAAAAATAAAATTCCCCTTTCCCTTTATTTTACTTCTATGTAACCTCAGTCAGTGATTCCTCAGGAATAATTTATTTCTCTATCTTTTCAAATGCTTCAAAGTTAACTTTTGTTTGATGTGGGTTAGAATAGTTTTCATAGGACACACAGAATTTTTCACTGACTGATATAATTTATTTATCTGTAGAATATGTATTTCCTGGTATTTTTTAACTGAATACTGGTAGAGTTAGGAACTTTTAAAGGAATCTAGGTTTATTTGTTTTTAGTGTAACCAGTTTCTTCCACTGGATGGGCTGTAAGAGAAACATCTTGGTGAGACACCTTGGTACATAACAAGAATCACTGTTCTGGGGAAAGAAAGGAGTGAAAGGAGGAGAAGGAGAGTAGTGAAATTCAAAAAGCAGACGTCAACAAGCCTGGGAAACAGGTAAATGTGTGTCTTCTGGGAAGATAATCCTAAAGATAAATGGACTGTCAGTGACTGAAACTGCTGTTAACAAAAGCAGAATGGTAAGCTATCCTGATGTGAAAGAAAGAGGAAACCGAGCAGGAGAGCAGTGTCCAACCGCACCAGGAGCCAAGAGCTAGAAATCAAAGGGACTTATGTGACAGGTAGAAATGGGGACTCACAACTGACAGTGACTGCAACAGAGCAGCATAAAACTGCTGGGGTGTAAGCAGAAAAAATCACCTGTGAAGCCGATTAGGAAAAAAAAATCTAAACTGCTGCTTTTCTATAAATAGGCAGAGGAAAAATACACATTTAATTTAATGAAAAGAAGTACAAATAGCAGATGAGACATAAGAGCTGGGAAATCCAACATTTCCTTCGCTCTATTGGCACGACCCTGTTGATGGCAGGCAGAGTGGTGTGGCAGGGCTGCACAGCGAGGTCGGGAAAGCACAGGCTGCATGTTGGCTGTAAAAACAAGAAAACTCTTATGTGCAAAATGACTCCACATTTATGGTCTGTTTTATGGCTCTTATCGCTAGGCATTTTCAAGGAGTGAGAGCACATTTCCTCTATCTCCTGCAGGAAGGAGCTCATTATTCCTTATTAATTAGGTCTTCAGTCACTAATCTGTTATGTACCTTTCCAGCAACTGTTTACAGAGAAGTGTTGTAGGATCTAATTGATGGAGGATAATTAGCTCCTCCCTAATTAGAGTGAAGTGTGCTTCTTTTCACTCCGTGGATGATCGCTTATGAATGAAAGGCCACGAATGGAAAGCTCAAGATGTGCAATGTGTCAGGAACTAATTTGCTTAAACTATTTCTGAAAGCTTATTCAATTAATACCCAAATAGTAGGCTTATACATGAGTGTGTGCAACTGACTTCAGTTGTACACAGGCATGTGGTTGCCACAGAGTTGAGCATTAATGTCATGCTCAGTTACCATACGCTGTGCAGGCACCAGGAGCAGCAGGTCTGAAAGCATCAGCACGGAGGAAACAGCATGTGGAAATAAAGAAAAACCTTCTGGAAGTTTTGTCTGCAGCTTCATCATCTCACATAATTTTCTCAGCTCTGAAAAAGAATGAGTTGCAACCTAGTGGCTGATAATTTTTATTTTTTTTTTATGGCTAGTCTGTGAAACTTGCAGAGAAGTATCTTATTGTCAGTGAACAGATATTCAGTATCCTTTGGAAACCAGATGCTTATATCCCATTTGGCACCAAAATGGCTAGTTATTTTCCAAAAAGCTTCTCTAAAAAGACTCTAGATTATTTTTTTCTGTAATAGAGCTATGGGTTATTGTCATAAATGATCTCTGTTATAACACTTTTGCTTCTTCCCAAAACGTGACTGCTTTTGCTTGTGACAGCCTGTGGTCTCCTGGCTGCAAAAAGAAAACTGGAGATTGGCTGATGACCGCTGTGAAGTACAAGTGCTGAGGCTTGGCATACGTGCTGATGTATCAGAAAACCTGTAAGAGAAGATGTGGAATTTATATAATTAAAATGTGGATAATTTATAATTATATAATAATCAAATTCTAATTTATATGTTTAAGATGCGGATTCACAGCACAGCCTGAATGCATACATAGGTTTATAGGGAGATATGCTTCTTTCTGGATTAAAAAAATGTTTGGTGTTTGACATAAGCCCGCTGCTTGAGAGCCCACTGAAGTTAATAGAAAGTCTGTCCTTGAGTTTCCATGTCCTTTAGCTGAGGTGACACAGCTGGAAATACCAAGGGAGAGCAAGTAGGCCTCCTTTCCCAGTGGTGAAAAAATATTGAAATGTGTCCCTTAAGGGTTTGAAACCCTGGAAAACAACAGCACAAATCCCATAAACTTTTTCTCCCCAAGAAGTTTAAATCAGTTTAATGATTTGGGAAGTTATGTTCTGCTGCATTGCTGCCAATCTAACATATTGAGTGAGACAGAAGCTGAGGAGTCAGAGGGGACACGGATGAGGTTAGGATTACCTGCAAATTTCTCATGTTCCCTGAGACTGGAGAATTGCTTCAGTTCCCTGGAAGCCTAATACTGTTAATCAGCGAAGAAAGATTTCACTGTTTCATTACTTGCTGCAGCTGAAACTCAAGGAAATTACTTGTGTCTCATTATCAGATAAAGTTAAGATTCCAGTATAAAAGAAAATTCTTTTTCACACTCAGGTCGAGAGTAATTTATTTTTTGTCGCTCAGATTTTAAAAATAGAGAGCCAGCAGAGGAGAATACTATAGAACCACACAAAATCTGGATACTGCAGATCTGCTTTGATACAATAACAGTTTCCAGCCTCTCTTTTATCTTCATAACCATTCCTAGGTATGGTGGGAAGAGATTAGAATGGCAAACTGAGCAGTGCATCCGTCCATTGTGAGGTGCTTGCTCCACTCTACTACTCTATGGAGGCTGGAGCTGTTGATGGCAACAAGAGGCTGTTGCCATCATTGGAACCTGGTGCTGGCCCGTTGACCTTGCAGATTAAGTAATGCTCAGGGGACAGAGTATATGAACCTTGCAAATCCACATAGGGAAGCAGAGTCAGACTCTGCATCAGGTCTGATCCTCAATTTTCCCTAGTGGGGAGTGGCCCTACAGGCTTCCCTTGGGGCAGGGTATCTCTCTTTGGCATCATTGGCACCATGCTTGGGCTGGGACCCTGGGCCCCTCTGTTCTTTGTGCTGCCTGCTGCCACATTGAAAGGGCTGCCTGGGAGAGCACCACTGGCATCCAGCCGGTCCTCGGGCACCCTCCTACCTTGCTGGGGGGGAGGCTGATAACAGACTTGTGCTCCCAGCAGGGGTCATGTGGGTCTGTGAGTGGCTTTTGAGTGGGATTGGTGGTGTGTCTGTGTGTTTTACTGCTGCAGAAACCAGGTCTGTGACACCGTAAATCCTAAGAAAACTCCCTGCTGTTAGACCTCGGGGAATTTTCTCCTGGGAAATCTTGCTGTAATGAAAGCCGAGCTGAAGGGCTTGGTTACGTCCTAGGCAATGGCCAGTTTCCAGAGGGGTTTGATGCCAAAGTTCAGATGTTTTTCTTTTCCTTGAAAAACACAGCCCTGACTAGCTTAGGCTAGTTACAAGATGTGAACTTACAGAAACAGGATATGCCAGCAGGGATGACAGCATGAATGTCCCCTTCTCTCTCGTGTGATTAGAAAGAGATGCAGCTGCCAGCTCAGGTGCCTGAACCCAGAGCAGGACTGAAACAAAGGAGAAGCCCAGATGAGTTCTTGTTTTCCTTCTAAATAACTTGGTAAGTACTTGGCAAAACCTCTCTTAGTCTCAGTGGTGAAATGTAAAACCTTCCTGTCCCCTTGAGTCCCCAGTCACATCTGAACAAGGATATGTGACCTTCTGAACAGAGCTGACAGGCTAATTGGGAGCTGCCTTGACCTTCACCCTGCTGCTCTTTGCCAATGCCCATCTTTTTCCCCCCTGAGCTGGGAGTGTGGAGAGCCTTGCTTTACAGCCCAGAGGAAGACTGGAGTGTCAGTGTTGATTAAGAGGGGCAGAGCAGTCTTCCTTGGCAGAAGTCCTGAGGGCCAGTGTAGCTCCAAGCCCAAAATCACCCAGTCTTTAAGCTAAAGAAAACTTTTTGGATGTGCATTATATTTGCTAGAGGACTTTTTTCTTTCCCTTGTTCAGTGACCAAAACTGATGTGCTTTTTCTACATCAGCTAAATATGACATAATGACCAAAGCTGAAAGTTAGTTATTCCACAGAGGAGAAAAGGCTGATAGAGAACTCAGTTGTCTATGAAGTCAGATGGTACCTCCCATGTGCAAGGTTGTGTTACCCTGAACTCATTAGCAGTCAAACACTAGAAGTCTGCCTCTTTATTCAAAACCCCCATTTCCCATCACTTGTCCCCTAGCTCAAAGACCCCATCCTCTAACTCTCCTATGAGCAATGCACAGTGGCACACTCATGAAGGTCCTTTCTCCTTCCTCTAACTCTCCTATGAGCAGTGCACAGTGGCACACTCATGAAGGTCCTTTCTCCTTCTCCACCTGGATCAGCTTCTCTCCAACTCCCTCTGTCATCCTGACTCTCTGAAACAAAGCCCAGCCCTATCATTTTTAACTGAGAGACCTTTGGTTTCTAAGGCACCTTATTTGCCTTGTTTTAGGAGAGTAGGATGCTCAGCTTTCCATTTCAGTCATCTGTCTGTTGCCAGCACACAGCTATGACTCTTAGAGAACATAACTCTTGCAGTTGTGTACCCTCTGGCTTTTCAGATGCAACATCACTGCCCTCTCCTAAGCTGAGCTCCCCCTTCTTTCTAATAGGGAGTAGAACAAGACTTAAAGAGACTGGAGTATATTTCAATATCCATGACTTTTCTCCAGCACTATTGTGAGGATAGGGATTGCATCCTCTGCTGTGCTCCACAGAGCTTCCCACTCTCCTGAGCCTGAGGACTGCTGACAGCATGTAGGGAAGCAGGATGAGCAGGCAGGGAAACCAGAACGAGCCAGTGCTGAGGACACCTATGAATGCTCCAGGAGACTTGCATCTTTGACTCATTGTTGCCCTTTAAATGTGACCTGGTGCACAAGTGAGCAGCAACCCAAGGAAAAGAGCCACAAAAGAGCTTTGGAGAGAGCAGGATGTCCCTTTCTCTAGCATTGGCATATAATAAGTTCCTCTCTGAAGTTTTCCTTTATGTATTTCTTTCCTGTACCTGAGGTGCAAATGAAAGGCAAACAATATGGGTCAGGTGTGATGGTCTTGGGTAATGAACAGCTGGGAATAATTACCTGCTACCAGGAGGAAGGATGATGGATGGAGGCGAGGAGCAGCTGTGTGGCATCTTCAGCTGGCTGCTGTGACAGGAGGGGAATCAGAAATGCCCAGAGAAATTGCTTGGAGGGGCTGTGGGGCAGAGGCAGAACATTAGTGCTAGAAACAGGCTATGGCACCCTGCTGGGGAAACACTTTCAGGGACATTTTTTATTGTGAGACCCTTATGCTTCCTTCTGGAAAATTTAATATTAGCCTTGGCTTCCATCAAGACATGTATTTCCCTAATGGGCTGTGGGAAGCTGCTGCTCCATTCTTTTTAGCCTGGAACTGCGAGCTGAGGTGTTTCACTGCCTCTCCATGTAATGTGAAGCAGGAGCAGAAAATGTCAAGGAGGAAGGGGCAGCAGGCTGAGGTCAGCCTGAGAGTTCACATGGGAACAAATGTCCCTCTAAAGCTCTGGGATGCTGTGCCTGAGGAGGGAGGAATGAGTAGAGCCAGAGAGCCCCAGCTTTGTGGGATAGCAGAGCCAAACTTGCATGTCATGGGCTGACTTATGTGGCTGGGACAGCTCCTCTAGACACCAGCTTCTCCCCATGGCTATTTCCTACAGCTGGGGCTGGGAGATTGCTGTCACCAAAATGCATGAGAATCTCCAACATAGCCAGGAGGCCAGTGAAGAGCCCAGGAAACTGTTCCCCTTAAATAGTTAAACGGCTGCCTCTCGACAAGCACAATGTCACATTGAATTTGAAACAGGGAACTTTTTATATTTTCCCCCCTGATTGTGCTGGCACCTGGCAGATGCCTGTTTACCACAGGCATCCATACACACAGCAATCAAAGGAAATCAGAGGCACGGATTAGCAACAGCTGCAAGTCATTAGTGGCAGCCATGGGAAAGCACAGCTCTGCACCCCGCTTCGAAATAACCAACGTGAGTATTCCAGAGCACAGGGGTTACCGCGGGGCACTCTGCGGGCACCAGGGACAGCAAACAATTGCCTCACTTGTCTCTGGAGATGGCTTCTTCCCTCTCCCCAAGCAGCAGTGTGTTATCGATGAATCAATCACACTTTTATTGGCCCATGGAACATTAACTCTTTGGGAGGCTGACTTTCACCGACTGGGAGTTGTCAGAACTGGAGGATGGGGTCTCCACCTGTGCAAAATTTCTAGTTATTCTTTGTTTTCTTTGGGCTGACTGCTGGCATCTTTGGCAGTGTCTCAACACAAGTAAGGACTTGGGATCTCCTAGAGTTAATGCTCATTTTGCAGGAAGTTTTATTAGAGTGAATGTAAAGCAAAAGCTGACCAAAAACCTTATTTGTGTATCTGATTTCTTTATTCAATTCATTTTGAACCAGAATAGAGTCCAAATTTTATTTAAAAACTTAATGTTGATTGAAATTTCCATTGCAGATTTAGGCAGCTTGGGTTTCTATTTTGATCAGTCCCCGGAAAAAGCTGATTTTACTTCAAAGCATCTCTGACTCTTGGAGGAGCAGGAAGCTGGTGCCCTATTAATAGAGAGCAGAAACCAGTATCGCTGAGGCGTGGCTGATTCCCCAGCAGCCCTGACATATTTGGCTGTATCTGCCCTCCTTTCTCTCTGGCTCAGCACAGCTTTCACAGGTGCAGTACCCAAGCTGTGTGTGTGGTCTTTGTGGTCCACAAGAAGGGCCTGCCTGCCTTGCTCCTGCCAGATGGGAGCCCCATTCCTGCCTTGTGCTTGACCATTGCCATGAGGAGGTGGAAGCATGTGAAGGAGTTGACAGCAAGATGTACAAATGATAATATCCAGTACTTCAAAATACCCCTTGAGCTTCTGCTTGTACTGGAGGAGGGGAATAGGAGGAAAAGGAATGGAATCAAGGAAAGTAGTCACAGAGACTAGAAAAATGGAAAGCTGGGGTGACAGAAAAAGACCTTTCTGGAAAGGCCATGGTCAGCCTGAGCCTTGTAGCCCCTGGGTCTCTTTCCAGCCCCCAAACCTTCAGTTACTTTCAGCTTCCCACCTGCATCTCCCAACACAGACCTTGTTTCTTATCTTCCATCCCAAAACTCACTAATTACCAAGGTTTGGTCAGACCCAGCTTTCTCCAAATCCCTTCCTTGTATGTTCTCTCTGCTCTTACTGGAAAAGTTGCATTTGGTTTCCCCACGAATAACATCATTTATGTGGAGGCAAAAATGAGATTTAGCCTTGTCTTCCAAGGCCTCTTAAGATAGCTCTGCTAACAGTAAGGGACATGGAAACAACATTAAAGGTAACAAAGGGAAGAATAATTTTAAAGTAAAAGAAAAGTGAATGGTCTCAAAAGACAAAGCATTGCAAATACATCTTCTAATGCAAAGGTGAAACCAAGGAGAAAAGAGGGTGAAGGTATGTTAGTTCCAGCACCCTCTCAGTCCTGCAGCTGTTTCCACTTGAAAATTATTTTAGTATCACAAAAGTCTGCAGAGAGCAAGACAGGTATTTGTAATGGTTCATTGCTACTAGCTGCAGAAAGTGGGGTGGCTTTCTGTGCAGTGCCTGAGGGAAGTACACCAACTTCGGGAAAAGTCACAGGTAAGTGCTTGTTTTTAAAGGATTTACTGGTTTTTCTCTTAAGTTTGTGAAATGTTGAAAGAATGCTTTCCTCCTTCATACTTTTGCTAAAGTGATGAGTAAAGGAAGATACACGTTTCTGAAGAACTATTTCTAGTTGTTTTTTTTTCTCAGTAGGAGACACTGTTTTCTGCATGTTTTTCTGTCCCATCCTCAACCTAAGAGCAGGTGTTTTACTTGCTGAGTTCCAAGTCCCGCTGGATTTTGTTTTGGTACTTTCAAGAAAGACTGTGGTTCCTTCTGTGCTTCAGCTCAATGTAGTCTCACTGGCTGGTGTTCAAAGCACAGTGCGCTGTGCTCACTTGTGATGCTCAGGTGTTCTGGGCTCTTCTTTAATTTTGAAATTCATTCTGCAGTTCCTTCTGTTCCAGCTAGATGTGCTAATCCAGACATTTGCTTGTTAATGTTCTGCAAATGGTGGATGATAACTTGTACCTACACTGTGAAAGGGACCTTTTTGTCAAAACTGGCAAATATTAATATAAATATTATGCCTTCAGAGAAATTAACTTCCTATCTTCTCGATATTCCTTTTTTTATTTTTTTTCCTACCTATAACTGTCAAGTTCGTGTTGAAAGGACCATAGTCTATCTCTCAACTCTGAGTAGAATCAGGGCTGAGGTGCAAAGAAAATCGGAGGGAAGGTCAGCAAAATGATGAGGGTGTTCAAAAATCTGTTTATGAAGCGAATCTAAAGAGATTCATGCATTTCAGTGAATCAGAAACAGACTGAGGGATAATGTGATCATTTCATATAAGTACCTATATTTGGAAGACATAGACACATTTTCCAGAACTATTTTTCTGTGAAAGAGCTGCTGTCTAGTCCCTGCCAGTTCCCTGAATTTAATCTTGGTAAGAGAGATAGTGTTGCAGGTATTTGAGTAGTGCAAATTA